CACAATTTCTGTGGTGAATCAGTACACTCTGTCGGTAGTGAGTGTAACTATGGAGCAGCAAGTGCTACTTTGATCAGCTTCTGCCTGCAACTAAGGTGCCAACTTTAGTGCAGGAATGAACTGTGCAGGCAGTTGGGGCCAATCGTGTACTCACTTTTCTTAGAAGTGTTTTCTTCCAACTATACTTCAAGGCTTGATTGGACAATTTGACAGAGGCCTCAATAGTGAGATTGGCATAAGATCAGTGAGTGCCTTTCAATCCATGTTGACATGCTTAGTTCTAGGAAATCTATTTTATTGCCTTGGAACAAATTCAGTGATCCTCAGTGGGGCTGTGACTACCAATAAAACTTGCAGGTAAGCCAAAGCTTAGTACTTTGAGTCATATTAAGTGTTGCTGTGAAATTGCTGGAAGAGCTTCTTCTTCTCCATTTCTAGCATTCAGAAGTGAATTGTTGGATTAGCTGGCCCCCTGGTGGCCGACAGGATTGCAGTGATCAATGTACTCAGGACAAGAACTCAAGGAAGTGCCTGAGTTAGGCAGATAGCTAAAGATAACTTTTAAACAGTAAATTTAAAACAATATATTTTTCAAGGGATGTTGGCCAGGCCAGCATTTATTGCCCATCTCCAGTTGCTGTGAAGATGGTGGTTGTGAGCTGCCACCTTGAGTTGTTGTAGTCCTTGAGATTTAGGGACGGTCACTATGCTGGTAAGGTGGTAATGATCCAGTGACGGTGAAAGAACAGCAGCGTCATTCTAAATCTAGAAGGTTTGTCCGTTGGAGGGGAACATAGAGGTGATGATTTTCCCGTTGAATTTGCTGCCTTTGCTCTTCTGTGGGTTAGTGGTCTCAGTAGAGCATGCTGTGAAGAAGCCTTGGTGAGATACTATAGCTTGTATTGTTAATGGTATACACTCCTCCTGAGTCTCAATGGCAAAGAAAGGGTATGTTGAAGATGGTGGATGGGGTGTCAGTCAAGTGGCTGCTTTAACTGGCATAGTGTTGACCACCTTGAGTATTAATGGAACACCACTCATCTAGACAAATGGAACATATTCACACTTGGAGGGAAGTTTTGACAGTGATGATGTCACTGGACTAGTAATCCCAAGCCAAGGCTAATGTTCTGGAGATCTAGCAGGTTATGACATTTGTATTCAGTAAAAGTCTGAAATAAAAAAAATCTAAGCTGCTCTGACCATGTAAACGTAGTTGATTGTTGGTTTTAAAAAAAAACCCATTTGGTTAACGAAGGGTAGGAAATCTGCCATCCTTACCTGATCTGATCCACATGTGACGCCACATACACAACAATGTAGTTCACTCTTTACTGCCCTCTGATGTGGGTGCCACTGGCCAGCATTTATTGCCCATCCCTAACTGCCCTGGGCAATAAATGCTGGCCAGTGACACCCCCATCATATCAACTTTTTTTAAATTGTGCCTTGCAGGATAGATATTGGAGAGTCAGGGAGTGAGTTACTTGCCACAGAATTCCCAGCTTGCAACCTGATCTTCTACCCACGGTATTTACAGATATTTTCTAACCAATCAATTTAGAGATGGTCTTACACACCTCTGGAGCAGGTGGGACTTGGAACCTGGGCCTCCTGGCACAGACGTATAGACACTACCATTGTGCCATATGAGCCCTCATAACAACATTTATAAAGCTGGTCCAAGTCACTTCCTGATAAATGGTAACCCTCACAATGTTGACTCACCAACTGTATCTAAATTCTTCACAGTTACATTCAGATTTTCATCATTAAGATACTTGCAATTTTAGAAGTTGCAGATGTTTGAAACTGTTTGAAGCCTCAAATTTGATTTGGGTTTCGCAGGACAAGTGGCTAATCCAGAGTAAGAAGTTACTAAATAACTTGGCGTTAATAATGGGTTTGCTCAATGTTTTCTATGCTCCTCTGTAATTGGGTTTATAGTAACAGTATTTGCCTGATATAGGGTCTGTGGATGCTTAATCAGTGGAGGTTTTACTATCCTCATTTTTCTAGTACTTTATAGTCTTGTAAAGATATTTTTCAATGTTTTTTCTTTTTATTGTGTTCCCATTTGGTGCATTTACCAATGCAATTCTTACTGTGCACCAACAGTGTTATTGAGAAGGAGGGGTAACTCTTATGGATGGATACTGTTGGCTTGAGATTTATGTAGGAGTTCTGGAAGATTTATGAAACTATTTGGGGTACCTTGTGGTTTCATGTTCTGAATTTTGTTATTTTGGAGTAACAGGTCAGCTAATGGAATAAGTAGGAACACAATAAAAGGGACTTAAATGAGTTCTGAGTTGTAAAGAGACTTTTAGGAAAGTGAAAGTGGGATGTGTGATGTAAGCACTGCTAGGGGTGGGGGTGTTGTGTAGACCAACACACTCTGAAGGGAAATCTACCCTTGCTGCTGGAGTTTGTTGTCTTGACTAGTTTTACGCAGCAATTATGAAATGCATGATCTAATCAGGTGCCTCTAAGAAAATTATAGCTTGAAAGGAGGTTATTTGGTTCATCCTGTATCTGCTGTTGTATCTCCCCATGACTCTACCACAGGGTTCAAACATATGTTAAGCTTCCTGTATACAGGCACAAGAAATAGTAACAGCAATCGGCCATTTGGCCCCTCAGATGTGCTCCGTCATTCAACGATGCCATGGTTGATTTTCAGCCTTGCCTCAACCCTACTTTCCCCTCTGAGCCCCATGTCCATTATTTCCTTTAGAGTCAAAAAACCTGTCAAAATCAGTCTTGAATACATTTTATAGACCTGCATTTACAGCGCACTATAGTAGAGAATTTCAAAGATCCGCGTATCTGAAGAAATTTCTTCTCCTCAATCCTAAATGGCTAATGAAGATGATGCCTTCTAATTTTTGATTTGTCAACTATGGGATCTCACTGTCTATCTTGTCAATACCTCGAACCTGGATATTTCAATGAAATCTCCCCTTATTCTTATCTCCAGGGTGCATCGGCATGATCTATGCAGTCTCTCCTCACTGATAACTCTCATTCCAATAATCAATCAAGTGAACCATTTCAATGCAGAAACTAAAACCGTTAGTGTATTTTGGGTACGGTGTCAGCAAAGCAACTACAGCAAGATTTTCTTACTCTCCTATTCCAAGCAACTTGGAATAAAGTCCAATGTATGGTTTGTCTTCCTAAACGCTTGCTGTACTTGCATAGTTTTATACATGGGCCCTCTAATTCCTGAGAGTGCCAATGTTTAATGGTTGCCTACCACTTAAAACATATTTATCCAATTTTGAGATTATTTTAATATCATGCCTTCATTTTCCCACATTACTTCATGTGCCTCCACCCTGCCGTCTCACCTATTCTATCGATTATATCTATGCAGACTCTCTGTTTCACAGCTTAGTTTCCCAATGTGCTTTGTAATCTCAACAGCTGGGATCCATTTACGATCTAACATTTCAAGTCTGGTGACCAAGAATCACTCAACTTGAAATGTTAATTCTTTTCTCTCTCCACAGATGCTGCCAGACCTGTTGAGTTTTGCAAGCGATTTGTTTCGTTTCAGATCTCAGTGTCCACAGTTCTTTGTTTCATTTATGCATTACAATTGGTCTCTCTTCATCTAAATCACTAATGTATATATAGTAAATAGTAGAATTGTCAGCATTGATGCTTGTAGCATCCCAGTAGTAAAAATTTACCGGTATAAATATGATGCATTTATGTTTTCTGATGAAGGGTCTAGGCCCGAAACGTCAGCCTCTCTGCTCCTATGATGCTGCTTGGCCTGCTGTGTTCATCCAGCCCTGCACCTTGTTGCCTCGGATTCTCCAGCATCTGCAGTTCCTACTATCTCTGCATTTATGTTTGCTCACTTTTCTGATCATTAACAATTCCTCAATCTATGCTATTACTCTTAGTCCCAACAGCCCTTATACTATTTATAATATGAACTCTTGTGCTGTAAATTTTCATGTGATGTCCTATTGACCGGTTTTTGACAGTCCAAACATACTGCATCTTGTAGTACCCTGCTATTTACACTTAAAGAAAAGATTTGTCAAATACCATAAACTCTGCTGATTCTTTCTAATCATATTATTATGATTTTCTAAGTGCCCTTTTACCATTTCCTTAAGTAATGGGATTCATCATTTTAAAAGGTACAGTGGCCTTGATCTCAGCCACCCCTGTCACAAAGCATTGGTATTTTTAACAACACTCAGCACAAGAAAATCATTTTACCTCTCCTTGCTCTGATAATTTTAAATTACAGCTTGCTTATCACTAGCTTCCGTACACTGTTAAATCTCCTCTTTAATTACCCATGTACCATGTGAATAATTCAATATCTAGACTCTTTGTCAAGAAACAACAAGGTGCAGAGCTGGATGAACACAGCAGGCCAAGCAGCATCATAGGAGCAGTAAGGCTTGTACTCTCTTTGTCAAAAAATTTGGTTTTGCCTCTCTGGTAATCATCCTAGTGAATCTACTGCGCTGAGTCTTTGAATTGAGGCTTCCACAACATTACCTGCGACTGAGCTATTGCTTTGAAGAAATACAATTATTCTAGTGCTATCCCTAGCTATAATATGTTCTGACTATCCACATTAGGTCATGGCACAGCTATCTCCTCAGCAACATGACACTCTTTTGCTGATTTCATGCAATGTGGCAGTACAGCTGGCCTTGCTGGATCAAGACAGGGAAAGAATCAGCTAGAGTTCTTATTATTTTGACCACTATTTAATGACTCTTTCTAGAAAGTGGCAACTTGTGGGCATCGGAAATGGGCAGAGTTGGACCCTCAACAATTGTATGGCTCCTAAACCCTGTAGTTTCACATGATGATGACAATGTGGGTTCATGTATTTAAGTGATAGTGTGCCCAGGAGACTTTATTTGCAGAAGGGATGGTTGAAAATATGAAAGCAGTAGAGAGGAAGGGGAACAAATAACTTTGTTGAATTGTATCTTTAAGCATTTTCTGTGTTCTTTCAGGACGCACATGCAGGATCTACAGGAGGTCACCCAGGATTTGCACTACGAAAATTTCCGCTCTGAACGGTTGAAGCGTGTTGGCAGGTCAGTTACAACATCTCTAGCACCCCTTCTCTTAAGCAAATGTATCTTTCTGCAATAAATTCTTTACTACTTTAACAAGTACGTTTTTCTGCATGTGTGGTGTCTAGTAATGTCACTGGACTAGTAATCCTGAGGCCCAGGCTCATGCTTTGGGGCTATGGATTCAAATCCCTGTGGGTGGACTTTAAGACCAGTTAATAAAATCTGGAACCATGAAACTGTCATCAATTGTCATAAAGGACATTGCTGAAGGAGATGGGTATTTAAAAGAATGAAATCTGGCATCCTTGCTCAATATGACCTCTGTGACTCCAGGTTTGCAGCAATGTGGTTGACTCTTAATTGCCCACTGAAATGGCCTGACAACCATTCAGTTCAAGAGCAGTTAAGGAGGAGCAACAAAGGTTGTCCACATCCCATGAATAATTACTTAGATGAATGCTTTAAATTCAATGATTGCAGTATCTTGATGGTGTAAGTAGGTACGTCAAATTGTAAGCATCGCATTTCCCCTCCTGTGTCTGTGTTGCATTAACTATTTGAGCTGAGATGTTGGATTGTGCTCCAGTCACCAGCCAGACTTTTAGTCTGCAAGTACACCCTATTCAGATAAAGTATGTCTTCTTGAATGATGCAGTAGAGAACTATTGCTGCAGTGACATGAAACATAACCACTAGATTTTGAGCTGGGCCCTGGGGTAATGGCAAGGAATCATCCTAAGGAAAGGAATTAATGTAGGTAAATGCATGCTAGAAATTAATAATACCTCCAACAGTAGCCTGTTATTTTCTGAATGATGAATAATGTACAGCTTTAAAGGAGCAATGAATTTGGATGGTCAGGCACACAAATTACCAGATGTTGGTGCAAAAAGTAACCAGAAAGGCCAAAGAAATGTTGGCCTCTATTTCAAGAGAGTTGAATACAGAGGGGAGGTAGTAGTGCCAGAGCTGTACAGGTAATATTGCTATAATGCATATTTTGTTAATGCGAATTCGCTGTAATGCGATTGATGAATAGTGGACGCTGATGGATAATGCGAACTTTCTGCTGTACAAGTATAGCAATTTTCTGTAGCAATCTCCCTAAAACGCTATTTTAAAAGGCGATTTCCTATACCGCGAGGTCATACAGGAACACCACTATCGTGTTATAGGAGAACTACCTGTATAGAGTCTTTGCCTGTTTTAAATTCCATTGAGATTAGAAGACTGAAAGGAGATCTGGTTGGGGTGTTTAAAAGGGTAATTGATTCAGTGGGAGAGAAATGGACAAACCGTGTCCTCCAGCAGTGGAAATCTCAAATAAGAGTATATTATCCTGAAATAAGAGCTAGGCCATTTGCGACAGAGTGCAATTTTTTTTCTCTCATTTTAGTAGAAATTAAGGTGTTTCTTCCCATGCGGCTATGGATGGTGGGCCTGTTGTAATTTTTGTTGGGAAAGAATATCGAAGGATATAGAGTTCAGGTGCAGAGTAGTCATGATCTGCTCAAATGGTAGAATAAGCTTGATGAGCTGATTGGCTGACTTCTCGGCACTTTATTCCAATGTGTGCCAATTGCCTATTATATCCAAAGTTTGACTTGAAGCTTTGATTTCATGAGGGAACACTGGGGCTCCCACCATTGCATAATGAATTCCTAAGGTGTACACACAAGGAAGGAGACAGGCTTGACTCTTGGATATTGCTGTGTTTCTTAATCTGCTTGTATAGAGCACTAATTGGCCCCATGGTTATCTTTCCAAAGACAGAATTTAACTTGGGTATGATGTCCATGTGGTTGCCTGTCCCTGTTTACTATCAGAGCTGCCAGATGAATAGTTCTACCTGATAAAATGCCCCAAAGTAAATACCACATTAATAACGATGTACTCAATTTATGATAAGAGGTACGCAATCAATGGCAGGACTCTAGAAAGCCCAGAGGAACAGAAGGATCTCGGGTGCTAATCCACGGGTCACTGAAGGTGGCCAGTGTCCCATGTAGAAGACATACAGGGCACTTACCTTTATCAGTTGTGGCATAGACTATAAGAACATGGTGTTACGTTGGGGCTATACAGAACTTAGTTAGGCCACAGTTCTGTACTGCACACAGTTCTGATTGCCCCAATATAGGAAGGATATGACTGCGCTGGAGGAGGTGCAGAGGAGTTTCATCAGGATTTTGTCTGCAATGGAGCATTTTAACTATGAAGAAAGTCCGAACAAGTTCAGGTTGCTCTCTCCAGAGCAGAGAGGGGGAAGGAATTGACCTAATTGAGGTGTATAAGATTGAGGGACATGGACAGGTTGGGTAAAAAGCAGCTGTTTGCCTTAGTTGAAAAGTCAATTACAAGGGGCCATAGTTTAAAAATGAAAAGGGAAAAGATTTGAAGAGGATTTAAGGGAAGATTTTTTCACCCGCAGGGTGGCTGGAATCTGGAATGCAGTGCTTTAGAAGGTAGCCGAGGTGGAAAACCTGAAATCTTTAAAAAGTACTTGAATGAGCGCTTGAAATATCATTAATGTTCAAAGCAATGGGCTTTGGAAAGTGGGGCTAGTGTAGATCTAGAGTAGCTTAGTTGGTGCAGACTTGATGGGCTGAAGGGCCTCTTCTGTACTGTATGATTCTATCAGTATCATGACAGCGGAGAAACCAAAGGGTATCTTTCAGGGTACATAGAGGATTACATGTGTAACATTTTGCCTCATAGTGATGCAACCCTTTGTGAGCTACTGAACTTTTCTTAAATTGTGGAGTTGAACTGGTTTTCATTGGGGAGAAGTTTAGGAAACCACATTCCTTTGTTTTCAATTGGCGTTTTTGTATGCTTGCTGGTCATCAAAGGGTGCAAATTAAGTGGGTTACTTTATCAAGCTCTTTGAGAGTTGGAAATGCACTCCTGGCATGTGGAGGGGATTCTGTCGGAACCCTTGACTTCTGTTTTGGGGATTGTGGAAAGGCTATGGGGAATCAGGAGTTGAGTTACTCCTCTGCTGTTGTCAAGCAGAGTAATTATGCACCTGGTGGAATGCACTTGGAATTTTCCAACATAGAACTGGGCTATTTGACTCATCAGATCTATACTGTTACCTCTGAGGGTCACTTGGTTTAATCCTGCTTTCCTGCTTGCATCCCAAATCCTCTCAAAATCTCTGCTTCTCCGGACAACTATTCTATAGGGAAGAATTTTGCATTCTATCCATTCTGTGGAAATTGATATTTTAGTTTTTTGTATCCGCAACTTGATTCTTTTTGTGACCACGTAAGTGCTGGTTGTCTAGTACCACATCATCGATCAGTGAAATTAATGTGACACTATATCCACTCTCATAACATGTCACAATGACCAGAGCATGTGTGCACTTAAATCTCTGTTGCTTTAATTCAATTATAACCTCACTTCTGAATATTTCATTCCATTATTTTCAACTTTAACCTGTATCTGATAGCAACCTGTTCATCCTGCTCGTGTACTACCTGTAGTCTTCCATAAACTTTGTTCGAATTTGTTGTTGTCCAGACTTGGTTGCATACTTTTATATTGTTCCATTAATCTTATGTGAAATTACAATATATAATGTAAACTGGAATGACCCAAACATAGACCCCTCTGGAACAACACTCCCTGCACATTTCCCACTATCGTTTTCTTTTTTTGAACTCTGGCATTAACTTTCTGCTTGCCATAATTTACCTTGCAATAAAACTTGATTGTTGTATTCCTTATCGGAATGCATTTCTATTTCAATGTTTTCTTATTGTTAATTTATGGTTGCTGCCCATTGTTCTGCATGGAACTGGAGAAACTAAGTCCAAGTCTGTGTAAGTTTATTTACAGTTATAACCATTTAACCCAGACAAGGTTCTTTTCTTGTTCAAGTTTGTTTTTCTTTATCAGTCAAGTACTTTTTTAAAAAAAAAAAAAATCTCTTTCTGTCACCTTGGGTGGAACTGTGGCTCAGTAGTTAGCACTACTGCCTCTCAGCACCAGAGATCTGGGTTCGATTCCAGCCTCAGACGACTGTCTGTGTTGGAGATTGCATGTTCTCCCTATGTCTGTGTCCAGTTTCCTCCCACAGTTCAAAGATGTGCACATTAGGTGGATTGGTCATACTAAATTCCGCATAGTGTCCAGGGATGAGCAGGCTAGGTAGATTAGCCATGGGAAATGCAAAGTTATAGAGGTAGTGATTAGGACTGGGCGGGATGCTCTTCAGAGGGTTGGTGTGGATTTGATAGGCCAGATGGTCTACTTGCATACTGTAAGGATTCTTTGATTCTGTGGTTAAACGGAACATAAATATATTGTGAGCACCATATCTCAAATGTTCGTCATAGGTCACCTCCTTGCTCCACTTCAATTATGCAGTCCAGGCTGATTAGTGTGAACATATCACTATCAAACAGCAGCCTTGCCTTCACTGTTTCCATGACTTTAGTTACTTGGAATGTCCTCTTGAGCAAAACCTGAATGTATCGTTGTTAAAGCCTCAGGTCAGACTCATAAATATGACTCATTGACTTAGCTGCTTAGTAATCTTGAATATGGTGCCCAAGTCATTATGTAGTGCAGAAGATTGTGAAATGTACGCATAACATAGCTATTATATTGTTCCAGACCCTTGAGCAAAACTCAGAATAAAGTGGCATCCCTCATTATAATGCAGTTTATTTGGGATATTTAGAAACAGCTACAAGATAATCCAGTTAATATTGTGCATCAAAATATAGATGAGAAGTCTGGCCAGCCAGGGCCCCATGGAGAGATCAAAACGAGAACAAAAACATAATATCCACCCAAGGAGGGAATGTGTTGACGCATGTCTTGGCTTTGGTGAAATATGTTTTCTGACTTACTCTTTAGTAACCCTGCAGCTGTCAGCCTCTGCTCTAAGCATTTTTATTGTTCTACTCAGCAGAAATAACAAGCTGAAATATAGCTGTATGTCCCTCGGTCCAAATTCAAATGAGCTTCACAATTCAGTGCTTATGGATTGGTTGAAATGGCCT